CCACACCATTTATTCATACTTGGCGGCAGGACAATGTGTGGGAGTGATGGGGGGCATCCTGGGTTGGCACCGATACAGCATGTGGCTACGAAGGGACTAGAACAGGCCTCTCAAGGGGTGGCCCTCACATCCACGTTGTGGGGGCAGCAGGGAACCAGAGGTTGTCAGGACAGAGGGCGTCCCTGACCACCCTCACCATGCCTGCCGCTGTAAGTGCCTTGCCGACACCGGGGGGTCTCCCCAGGAGCCCCTCACCTGTGCCATCCTCTGAGACGCCTCCCCTTGCTGTGGGCAAACCTGATGAAAGGACCGAGAAACTCATTTCCAAGGGGGCTTTGGTCTCGGGGTGGCACCCCCACGCTGGGACGTAGCTGGCACTGAAGCGCTGACTGACCGAGCCCTGGGAGTCACCAGGGGGCTCTGGAAGGTCACCCCCGATAGCGAAGGCCTGGGATCCCGAGGCCCACTCGTGGGGGAGCCACCGGTGGGTGGGCGGCCAGTGTTGGGGACATTCAGAGCCCGTGGAGAGTCTAATCCACCCTTGTACACCTTCCCAGCTTCGGACCCCTCCCTGAGCTCTGTCTTCGTGGGAGCGAATGGGTGAATGGTGCGCACTGGGGTCTCCCTGGGGTGGGGCGGGTGGTCCCTCGGGGTGGCTGGGGGTGTCCAGAAGAGCGTGTGGAGTTTTGAAGCACCCCCCTTCACCATCCACGGGGCCTCCCAGCAGGTGCCCACGGGTCGGGAGCCAAATAGTGACTCATCACAGTAAGAAGGAGTGTGGCTGATCAGTCTGGCAAAGGGAAGAGAAACGAAGTGAGCGAACAAACCCTACAACCTTAACACCCGCCCACCCCACGCCACCCAAGCCAGGCACCTGCAGCAGTAGAGAGTGTTGCCGGTAGATCCCAGAAGTCCCTGTCTCCCAGCCTGGCACCCAGTGAGGCCACAGCCCCCTCATGTACCACTACCTCCATCTCTGCTATTTTGCCCCTGCCTAGCACCCAGTTCCCCTGTTCCTTGGCATGTGCCCCAGGCCTGGTCAATCTGCATATTTCACTCCTCTGGCCACACTGATTGGTCAGGAATGGCCATCTGACCCATTCTGTCCAATCAGAGTCTGCCTTAGGACCTTTGCTGAAACTACTAGGAAAGATGTTTTTCTGCCTCCTGACCTTGAAAAGCTGGCGAATATAAGGGCAAAGCAGCTGGTGGCATCTCACCTGTAACGTGTGAGGGAAAGCTGCACTAAGATGAAGACAGGATCCCAATGATGGTTTGAGCCCCGGTTATGTAAGGCCCAAATTCCCTTTTTCTGCTGAAGCCAGTTTGGGATAAGTTTTCTGTCACTTGCAACTAAAAGCCCTAATTAATACAATATTAGTCTTTATAACCTTTTTCTTTTAGCCTCTACTTTTCCTTTTTCCTAGTAGCCTCATAAGCTGAATCCTTTGTAGTCCCCTGGCCCTTCCGATTTGAATTTTTGAGTATTTACTGATATATTTATTTATTTATGTTTGTTAATCCTCACCAGAGGATATTTTTCCATTGATTTTTAGGGAGAGTGGGAGAGGGAAAGACAGAGAGAAAGATTGATGTGAGAGAGTCAATCTTTTGCTACTTGGTTTAACTTCTCAAACCATGTCTGGTGGAAACCATATCTGGTTGCCTCCTGCACATGCCCCGACCAGGGCCCAGGCTGGGGAGGAGCCTGCAACCAAGGTACATGCCCTTGACCAGAATTGAACTCGGGACCCTTCGGTCTGAAGGGTCTATCCACTGAGCTAAACCAGCTAGGGCTTTACAGGCCCTGGACTCAGCATGTCACATACATTATCTCATTACTTCTCACAACATCCACAGGAGGGAGAGATTGATAATACCATTTTACAGACATGAAAACTGAGGTATAGGGAGGGTGAAGCCCCATAGCAAGAAGGAGGGAAGAGAGAAGATTCAAATCCAGCCTGACTCAAGGACCAAGTTCTCAACCAGTGAATCAGACATATACATGCCTTCTCGGCCTCTCATCTTTCATTAGATTCATTCAGCAATTATTCTTTTTTATTTTTTTAATTAATCCCACAACTGTGAGGTCCATGGTTTTAGACCAGGACTAAAAGTGCTCAAATTTCCAAATTGAAAGGTCAACCTTTTGCTACTTGGTTTAACTTCTCAAACCATATCTGATGGAAACACATGTCTCTCTGATGCACCTTCTCATGTGAAACCCTCTACTTGTCAGCATCCAGCACAAGACTCCATCCTCCAGGAGGGCATGGGGTTGACTGTAACCTCCCTTGTCATGGACACCATACTTCTGCTAATACAGCCTACATTTACATCAGCATTTTCAACCATGTTGTAGGTGTCAGTCCTGCTAATGTCAACCAGACCTTGTCAGAGACATTGCCCTCAACCTGACACAATAATAACAAGTCTTCCTTTTATCTTGTTAAATTTTTATCTCCTTAAATAGACACCATTTCCTTTTCTTGACTAAAGTATGTCCCTCCTGGCACAGCATGGATCCTAAATATGATTAACTAGTTGTTATGGAGTGAATTGTGACCTCCCAAAATTCATGTTGAATTTTAAAGAGGTAATTAAGGTTAAATGAGGTCATGAGGGTGGGCCCCTAATCCAATAGGGATGGTGTCCCTTTAAGAAGAGACATCAGGAGTATACACACTCAGAGAAAAGGTCATATGAGGACACAGTGACAAGGTGGCCTTCTGCAAGCCAAGGAGAGGCTTCAGGAGAAATCAACCCTGCGGGCACCTTGACCTTGGACTTCAATAAATTTCTGTTGGTAAGCCCCCCAGTCTATGGTATTTTGTTATGGCAGCCATAATCAATTAAAACACCAGTCTCCTGTGTCTTTGTCCAAACTACTGATAAATAAACAAGAAGGAACCCTGAGGTTCCTTCCGGGTTGATATTAATCTGGAATAATCCCAATAATCTCATTCTAATCTAATCATCATCCTATCTAATAAAAGAGAAACATAAGCCGTACCTCCGCTACCCTTCCCATTGGCTAATCACTGAGATATGCAAATTAACTGCCAGACAAGATGGCGGCCGGCAGCTGATGCGAACAGGGAGGCTTGCTTGCTCCAGTGACGGAGGAAGCCAGGTTCCCCGCCTGCCTTGCCGGCCTCTCAGCTGCTAAGAAACACTGTAACAAATATAGAAGCTAAACAAAACCTCAGAAACCTGCTTTAGTCAGCCGGGCTTCAGCCAGCAGGACCGCAACATTGTTTCAAATACAGAAGGTAAACAAAGGCCAGAAACCTGCTTTCAGCAGCCGAGGCCTCAGAGCTGGAGCCAAGCCTCGAGCTAAAGCTGGCCCAGAATAAAAAAAAAAAAAAAGAAAAAAAGGACAGGTTGGGAGCTTCAGTCACCCACCAGCCTGAAAACGGCCCTCAGCCCCTCATCCAGGCTGGCCAGGCACCCCGGTGGGGACCCCC